ACAGTGGTTTTTGGTCTTTCTCTTTCCTTGGAGCACATCAAAAATTTGACCCTTCTTAAGTCCAAATGGCACTTTGATCTCACTAAAACAAGATTCTATGAGATGAAAAAGCTATCTAATATGTTTTTGGTAGAATTATCTAATTTAATGTCATCCATACACATAAGGGCATTAATAAGATGTTTTCCTTTGACTCTGTACTTTGAAATCATAAGAGAAAGATCATCATGGATTTAAGCTAGACAGAACCACAACAGGCTTAACATGTCTCCCTAAAAAATACCATGATTTATATAACTTGTTTTTAATGTTATTATGCTAGTGGCAGATTTTAAATAGAGAACAGCTTTTTAATCTGTTGATCAGATACGATGGCACTCTCACCTCACTTGAGCCTACTGTGTTCTCATTATTGTTGTTGTTGTTGTTATTATCGTTATTACCATATCTTGTACTATCATCACTACCACCATAATAATCTTGATGAATCTACTTCATATCAAGATTTAAAAGAAACCCATGACACAAAAAGTGTCAACACAGAGAACTTGCTTTCTAAAGCTAAATTCTAAAATTTGGGGGCCATACTTGAAAGCTAACCCTAAAAACAGGTTCCGTGTGCGTACATGATTGTCACTGACCATGTGACCATATTAGCCATGTTGTCAGCAGAGTCACCGAGGCTTAGCACCATAACACCAAAACTTACAGGACACAAACATTAGTTTTGTTTGCTCCTTCAGCAGCAAAGAAACTTCTAGAGTAACCAATCCTCACAAGAAATAGATTTGTTTCATTATTCTCTTCATTATTTTCATACCATGAATTACAAATTTGATTTGAGGGCTCACTTCATTCTGACTACCTGAAGTGTTCTCTAATTCTTGCACCCTGAAGCCAAAATTGTTAAAGATAGTCCTGATAGAGCATTCCATTTATTTTATTAAAGCCAATCGAACAAGCTTGTTCAAGGATCTAACTGTCTGGCTGACTGGCCTAACAGATCATTTCAATCAATATATTTGCCCTTCCAGATCTGTAGTGTAGACACAGTGCAGACCCTGCTAGAAATTAAGTCAAGTATAGCCAAGCGGAGGAATTTCTGGGGAACTTACATACTGAAGGCATTTTCCATTGTGCCTAATAAAGTCGTGCCTTGTTGCCTTTTGCCAAAGGAAGCAGAGTGGACATTTTTATTTATTTTGTGGCAGTAAGAGACGAAAAACACTTCAGCAATATTATGGCAAGCCACCAAAAGAGGTCTTACCTTAGGTGTTCTTTGAAATTCTGAAGGTGGGTAGGGAAACATACAAGTAAAAGGAGTTTGTAGGCTTTAGAAAAATAAATCCAATTTTTAAAAAATATAAATGCTACTTTTCACCAAATGTTCTATTCAAATGGATGGTATATTTTCATTGGATAATTGGTCACATTTCCCCAAATGGTTGAAAGGATATGTTTTATTTAAGAATAGAATGTAAAAACAAAAAAGTCATCTCCTAATTCCTAATTAAATGTGTTTTTACAAGATCAAATGAAGGTGATAACAACTGAGAAAAATTGGGGACAAAACACTGACCCATGAAATCACAAGAAATGACTAAAAAATCTGTCAATTTAAACAAATAGAAATTCATAAAAAGCAATGCATCCTCACTAATCAAAGGATTATAGACTAAGAGCCATGAGTCCATCTAATCTAACCTTCTCATTTTATAGAAAAAAGTAGTTATGGGCTTGCCCAGGACAACACAAATGAATGGCAAACCTAGGACTGGAACTAACGTCCTCTGACAACTCCAGGATTCTTTCCACTACACCATGATATTAACATATTGACCTGTATCACGATCACAGGGCAAGACTTCTTTTATTTTATGCCTAAAATTAAACTTCTATTAGTTTCTACATATTCTTTTACTAAAAATATATGGCAAAAATGTGTCTATGTTCTTGGAGCAACTGAGGCAGCCAATAGAAAATAAAGGTTTAGTAAGGTCTTGATAGCACATCTTTCAAAATATTCCATTCCAAATTGTTCAAAGGAAAATTTTCTGTGCTTAATCTTCACCATACCCCAAGTACACCAGGCAGCTGAGGCATGCGAAGGTCAGTCTTCTATATCTAGTCATTTATCTATCTTGATTAAACCCACAAAATCATTTTCAAGTGAACTCATACCAAGCCATGCTGAATTTATGACACTTGTCAGATTCACATTATATTTTAATGTCTTTCTTCTTCATTCTTACAAACTTGAAAGTAAAGAAAGGAAGGAAAACTAGAGAAAAAAATAAAAAAGAAAGAATGAAAGAGAGAAGAAAAAGAAGAAAGAAATGGGGAAGACTGGGAGGAGATGAGAGAATACTTCATGGCAATATGGTAGTTTAATAATAATAGCTGCCTATTTTTAAAACTGAGCTTCCTTTCTTTCCTGACTTGGCTCCTCAAAAATGATCAAATGGAACTCCTCTCGGAATTTTTTTTTCTCTTTCTTTTTTTCTAAACAAAAACTGGAAATTAATCAACTTAGCTATGTCATTATCCTCAGCAAAAGATAAACCATTTTCATACCAAAGAACCTATGGAAATAAAGCTTTATTAGAGAAATAAAAGATATTGGTTCCTGTCTTACCCCTCACCTGCCTCTACCCCAAGAGTGTATTTCCCAACCTTTCCTTGCTAATGCTTCTACTGAGAGCCATATCTCAGACAGCCCCATTCTACAAAAATGATCCAGAGGCTATGTCCTGGTTATGGACAGGATGTAATGAAACAGATTCTCCTATTTCTCTTTACTTTAGATGCTAGCTGAAATTACCAGAGTAAGTAGGAAAACACAGAAATGAAAAGGGTTTAGAGGTTTCAGAAAATTAAATCCAATTTTGTATTAATACTACTCTTCACCAAATGTTCTGTTAAAGTAGATGATACATTTTTTAATGGCTTACCTAGCCATATAGCCTAAAGCTACATTCTTCATAGCCTTCTTGGAACACAAAATATTATTGCATAAAATATTCTGTAGGTAAGTGTATAAATTTCACATTACAGATCTACCTTCCTCCCATAGATTTGAATTGTGGCACAATCCAATTGTGCGTGTGTGTGTGTGTGTGTGTGTGTGCGTGTATATATATATATGTATATGTATATGTGTATATATGTATATATGTATATATGTGTATATATGTATATGTATATATGTATATATGTATGTATGTGTATATATGTATATGTATGTGTGTATGTGTATATATGTATGTGTGTATATATGTGTATGTGTGTATGTGTATATATGTATGTGTATATATGTATGTGTATGTATGTATGTGTGTATATATGTATGTATGTGTATATATGTATGTGTATATATGCATGTGTATATATGTATGTATGTGTATATATGTATGTATGTGTATATATGTAATATGTATGTATGTGTATGTATGTATTATGTATGTGTATATATGTATGTATATATGTATGTATGTATGCAATCATAATCACACCTACATATGCATATATGTATGTATATGGGTGGGAGGAAGGAGAGAGAGAATGTAATGTACTTATTTAATCCTACCAACAAAGGAGAGGAGTAGGTGGCTCTACTACTCGGGTGTTAGACTTCAATAAAAATGGATCCCAGACTGCCACATTTAGAAAACCAGAAATTAACATTATCTATGTTGTAGTGTATTTATTTCCCAATTATATTTTAATTTGGTTCCTGCTGCATTCAGGATGCTCCTAAATGAAACCACAGGTCCAGCCACCTCCCTTCTCCCACCCTACCCCCTAAGAAAAATTTTATCAAATCAAAGGAAACATGGACTAATGGAGAGAGGGTCTGGAGGCTGGCTGATCTAGCTCTAAGTCCTGTCTCTGAAACACACTAGCTGTATGACTGTCCACAATGTAACTGTCTTTAATATCCTTAGCAATTTTGTAAGTCTGAAGGCTGTACATGAGCTGCTGGTAAGCACTGATTACCACCCCAGGATTTCCCTAAACAGAGGCAATCAATGGTCCTACGCTCCACTCCTTTTTAAAAATAAAACCAAAATCCTCCAAAGACATCACTAAAGAGTTGCCTTCAACATCTGCCTTTGGCTGAGGATATGCCCATATGGACAGTCAGAGATCTCTGATGGGTTTAAGGTAGCCCACCAAATATTCTATGGAAGAGAGGCCTAACCAGATATTAAGAGAGATTCTCCATTATCTTAACTCTCTCAAGAATTATAATACGGCAATAACTCTCCTCAAATTTCTATCTTGACCCAAGCTGCATGATTTAATCAGCATTATTCTTGGACACTCCGACCATCCATGTCCTAAAACATATTGACAAACTCAATGAATATCACCTTCAAGGCAAATGATAAGGGGCTATACAAAAAGGTTCTTTCTTTAAGTTCTAATTTTGGTTCACTAGATCTCATTTTTTTCTATTCTGTTATAATATCTCTCTATATCTATTATATATGTGTGTATATATGTATGTGTATAAATATAGATGCATATGTGTATATATCTGTATATATATCCATATATATAATATATATCCATATATGTATATATATATATATCTGTATATATATATATCCATATATAATATATATATCCATATATAGATATATATATAGATATATATAGATATACACACACACATCTACACATAGATATACATATATATTAACCAAATTGAAAAAAGTGATATACTATGAACCCAAATTGGAACTTAATAAAACAGAAATTTAGTTCAAGAAATTATGATTAGAGTACTAACTTTATCCAGTCACTCCAAATCCTTTGTTCCTCCATATGACTTTTCTATTTTCCTACTATTTCTTTTTTTTAAGGGTTAATCCCTGCTGTCCCCCGGCCCCCATCTCCCATCATCAGCTAACCCAACCAAGCTCCACAACGGCATTGAAGATGTAACACAGTGGACTTTCAGCTAAGTCAAACAAGAGCAAGTCATTGGCACCTACTTCATCTCCAGGACTTCCTCAAGCTGTTTTCTCCTCTCTATCCGTAGGTTGGCCAAATGTGCTTCTTTTTCACCCAGGGACTGCTGTGTTGAGGCGAGGCGAGCTTTGGTAGCATCCAGTTCTTGTCTGGTCTTTTCAAGGGCATTCATCAGCTCTTCTAACTGAAATGCAGACATTGCCACGATTGAGATTTCACGAGATTACAGTCATTTGCTTGTCTGCTTGTGTTCTGACAGTGAACCCATAGAAAACCATGCAAACCTTCTAAATCAGAGCAAGACCTCATTGAAGACCATTCTTGTTTCCCACTGATTAAAAAATGTGTTTTCAATGCTCAGAAATGACCACGTTTCCAATGGCCCCATTCAGTTGTTTTGCCCAATAACTTTTATAGAAACCATTTAACTTCTTTATTATAAGTGGGGGTGACTGGGCAGACCCAATTCGGTCCCGGACTTGGCAAACGTCTGCAATATTTGCTCACAGTTGGGGTAAAGCAACGTTCAAAATGCATTTTGTCGAGCATGATTTCCTTTCGTTTTCAGGCCCCTGAGTATTTTAAGAGGAAGCTAATCTATGTGTTTCAGATTCATTCACATTTAGCCCATCAAAATGTTGGTTTCTAAAAGCCATTGGATTTCCAAGGACCCTCCAGAGGCCTTTTCCTTTGAACCAGGAAGCAATGTTTGGCCAAGAGTAAACAGAATTCCAACCACAAAAGGTTCAAGTTTGGTTTACCCGTGCTGTTTGAGAGGGCCTTAAACTTGAAATAAATGAAATGTAACTTTTATAGGGTGCTAATACACTATAGGGATAAGCCAGACTATCAAATATCCAGGGTTTTTAGCCAGGTCCCAAGAAATTGGACCAGGGGGCCCTGAGGCAAACCCTTACTCCTCTACAAACCATCATGGGCTTTTTAAAGCCAACCTAGAACAAAGACAGCCTGGTTTTTATGATTTCATTCCAAGGGCTGCAAAGGAATAAGGTGGCGATATGCAATCCCTCACCCGGACGAAGGGCTGGATTGACCCCGTTGATTAGAGCTGTGGTCCCAGGGAGTCCCCGTCTTCCATAACAGTTGTGTAGGCCTCTAAGCCATCCTTTCCAGCCAGGCTTGGCAGAAGGAGCTCACCCATCACTAAGACCAACAAAGCTCCCTTCAAAATGTGTCAGTGACATGTTAAGTCCCAATTCATAAAGACTTTCTGCACCATTTAGGCTGTTTTACATGGAATTGATTCAGGATAAGCAGAAAACACACATCCAAGATAAATTTCAGGCTTTTAAGATTCAGAAAGCCTTTTATTTTGCTAAAAAAGAGGGAAAACTTTGAATCATGGGCACTCAAGGCAAATATAGATTAAGGCCAAAAAAAGAAAAGGGAGGAAGCAAGTTTCAAAATGTAAGATTCAAAGAAGACAAAGGGAAACTGGTGAATTTCACCAAGTTACACCTGTCTTATGGGCAATGGAACCAGGAAGTATCATCAGCCAGCACGCTGTCAAGTGGTGCTGGGGAAAACCATTGAGGTAGTTGAATTTCCATGCGGTGCCCCAATTCTGATGAAATTCCCCATCCATTCCCTTTATAGCATTGCTTGTGAATACCTGAGGTGGTCACTGAGATGGATGGCTCATCACCGAGACTCCTCTGGCTCTGCAACTTCACCAGCATGGGCATTTCACCAATGGTACAGCTCACAACCTAACTTGGCCTGCCCATCCTACGGGGCTCTTTGTAGGTCCTCCCATAATTTCAGCCCAAGGGACCCAGCACACTGAGAGCTTTCCTCAGTTTCTTCTTGCACCACAAGAATACCATAAAGCATGAGGGCAGTCCATGAGTCATCTCTAGCTCTTACTAAACAACCAGCCTCTCTTCCTTTTGAATAAAATATTCCTTTGATAACATCTTTTACACTGCTTTTCCTGTATAATCATGTATGTATGTATGTATGTATGTATGTATGTATGTATGTGTATGTATGTATGTGTGGGTACATGCATGTATGTGTATATATGTATGTATGTGTATATATTGTGTGCCTGTATGTATGTGCATCTGTGTGGATGTATGTATATGTATATATGTGTGTATGTATGTATGTGTATGTGTATATACAGTGCCTAGCATTGGCACATAGTAAACAATAAATAAATGTTTGTTGACCAATGAATTATAATATGTTTCGGTCTGACCATGTCTATGAAGCACCCCTCCATTGCCCTGTAGGTCAGTGATATCAAACTCAAATAGAAACAGGGCAACCCAACCACACCTACGGATCCCAGAGGGCTGCATATTGACTCAGAAAACCACAAATTAACACTATCCCTGTTTTGTTGTCTGTTTGATACCTCTGCTCCAGGGGACTATCAGCTTTAATGCTTCAGAGACTTTAGTGATCCCTGACCCACAGTCTTCACGGGAAGAACACTGGCACTAAAACAGGCTTTTCTTTCAAAAAGAAGTTTGAAAGTATTCAGAAACAGACAACATAGAGCTCCCTTCTCCTCCTTTTCTTCTGTTAGGATCCCAGATCTCAGCTCATCTGCAATATCTATTCAAGACATATACTGACAATATCTACTATCCCATTGTTAGGATATTTTCTGGTTGCCATATTTTCTGATTAAGCTTCCTCAATTTCTCACCTCCTTTTTACAACTTGGCCCAGTGGTGAAAGAAAACAAAATCCAAGAATATCAGTAATCCCATTAGCCTGCTGGAATATTATCCATTCAAGTCTCTGGCCATGTTGAGGAATTACCGGTGCTGTTTGCAATCAACCAAGGTGCAAGCCAACATGACTACAGGCCTTCCTACAGCAGAGATAAAGGCCATCTCTGACACCCCTGTTTGTTGATTCCTTCCCTCTGCTATTATCTCAAACTAACCTGCCCACACTCATCTAACACAGAGTCCACTCACTGGGAATTCCATATTGTTTCCTAACAGCCTGCTCTCACATCACAATGAAGAGCTTCCCTGTCTCAGCCCTTCAGTATGTCATATAACTAGTCTGATATTAATTCAACTCTAACAATTAGATTTAAAAGGAATGGGCTGAGGGATATTATTGTAATTTCTTGTGGTAGGGACTACAAGATTATACCTGGAAGGGATCTCTGAAGCCCACTTGTCCAATATTCTCATTTGACAGATGAGGAAAATGAGGATCAGAGACTTTGCCAGGGTAATCAATCATCAGAGCGATTGTATCACATGCAAGATGTGCACCTGGGCCCTTCCCCTCCCCATTGTACTAAGAATCACGTCTGTATTTTGCCTTCACTTTATGTCCCTTTCAGCAATTACCACCATGTTTTACATGGAATATGCATTCTATAAAGATCTGTTGGGAGTCAAAATACTTAGAATCTGATCCTGCTTCTGATACTTAGTACCTGGGTGACCTTGAGCAATTTTTCTGGGCCTCAGTTTCCTCATCTGAAAAATGAGAGAGTTGGCCCCAGTGGCCTCTATGGTGTCATGTGGATTTAGGTGTAGGATCCAATGATCTGAGATAAAGTAGCCTATACCTTACATCTAAAAGAGGAATCCATATTGGATCCCAGAAGCCATGGAGAATCACTAGAGTTTGTAGAGCAAGGGACTGGAAAGGGTAAGAACTTCAAAGTGGTAAAATCATTCGGGTTGCTGTGTGATGGAAGAAATGGGCTGAGGAGAGATGGAAGCAAGATGATCGATTAGGAGGTTATCCCCCTAGCTCAGGCAGGAGGTGATGAAGCCTGCCCCCAGGAGTGGCCGGGAGTGGACAGATGTCAGGGAAGCAGAAGCCTCAGCCACTAGCTAGACTTGAGGGGTGAGAAAGCGAAGACGTGAGGATGACGCTAGGTGAATGGAGAGATGAGGGGCATTCCTCAACAAAAACAGGGGCTGAACCTGGACTCTTTGACAGGGATGGGAGAAGCCAACTTCCCAGATATCTACTGGACCTTTCTGTCTGACAAAAGCAGAGCTGGTAATCAAGACCCAATCACTTCAACCCTCAAAAAACGGCAGAATCAAGATGGGGAGATTGTAGACAGGATCTGGTTTTCATTAACCAGGATGAATTGGATGATAGAATGGAAATGGAGAGGACTTTCCTCCTAAAGTTGGACAGAGGAAAGTGTGCACCCAGCCTCAGCTGGACTGGAGATTTAGAGAAAGTCAATTTGAAAGAGTTCAGATGAGGAAAATCTTGGGTACCATCAATCCATGAGTATTTATTAAGCAGCTCCTATGTGCGGGGCACTGTGCTAGGCTCAAGTGATACAAAGACAACCAAAATGAAACAGACCTACCTTCAAATCAAGAAGAATAACAGGCATAGAAATGAGTATGCACAAAGCAAATGCAGAGTAATAATAAGAACAAGCATCCATATAGTGCTTCAAGAGTTACAAAGCACTCCACATACGTTAGCTCATTTTATCCTCAGATCAGTCTTGTGGGGGATATGCCATCATTATCTCCATTTTAAAGGTGAGAAGACTAAGAGATTAAGTGACTTTCCCAGGGTCACATAGCTAGTAAATGCCTGAAGCTGGATTTGAATTCATGCCTTTTTGAGGCCAGCCCAGCACTCCCTCCACTGCACTACCCAGCTTATGGGGATCACAAACGTTTTCATGAAGAAGTATCATCTGAGCAGAATTATGAGTGAAATGAGGTAACCTAAGAGGTAGGCCTGGAACCTAGGTCTGCCCCCTTTACACTGAGCCTGCCTTGTCCCCATTTTATTAGCAGTGTTGAACTCAGAGAAGAATGGGGCCACTTATGGATCCCTGAGGATGTGACCTAAAACACACAAATTAACCTTATCAATATTTTATTGGATTTTTATTTATTTTGTAAAATATTTCCCAGTTATATTTTAATCTGGTTGGGGCCGGGGGTGAGGGTGGGGATATGGACCTGTTTTACACCTCTGCATTATACAATACTTCTTCTATAAGTTTGCATGTATATAATTTATTATGTAATATGCCAACATAGACACAAATGCCATGTGCATATGCACATATACAGTCTGTGTACATATATACATATGTATGTATGTGTGAACAGTGGCTTATGCCAACATAGATGTGATATACATGTACATACACACACGCATGTTGCACAAATATGTGTTGTGCATACACACAGC